GCAGGGCACATCTCGGGGGGGACTCCTCTGCCCAGACACACACCCAGTCGGGCGTCTGCGTACCAGGCGCCTGGGGACAATGATCTATTCTTAGTCTGCAGGACGGTCAGATATCCTTAGAAGGAGACGGCCTTTCTGAAGTAAGCAGTGCAGTTCAGTGTATTGTTATTAGTAATAAATCAGTGGTCTTTTCTGAAAGATAGTACCTAAGATTGGACGAGATGTTCTATTTTACTTCTATGCATTTTGTGGTTACAGACGCCATTGTGTGGTGTTGCAGATTTTGTATGTACAAGTCTACACCCGTGAAAAAAAAAACATAAAAATGTATTTTTTACAAAATACTGTGGAATTTTAAACACACTCTAAAAATTGCTTTTGAATTGCATTACTGAAAAGGCCAAAATCCGACCTCCGCAGTACAGTTCTCGCTGAGCTAAGGGCTGAAACGCAATCAGCACCTCCGATTCCAGGATTGGAAAGCCTCGGTTATTCAAACCTGGTTAATCCGGAATTGGACGGAAGCCCTGGTATTCACGCGGAGTGACATCTGAGTGGGGCCGCGGTTCATGCAGGCCCGGGTTCGGAAGAGACTGAGAAGGGTATTTATTTCACAGTGTAACACCCAGGCCTTTCTGAGCAGCCGTGAGACCGGCGGTGCTCTTGCTCGGTACATGCTGTAGCCCGTCGGGGTGTGAGAGAGCCATCCTTTCACCGCCCAGAGCGCCCAGCACCTGCGACCCCTGGCGTCCTTATTTACAGTGATCTAATCAGAAACCACGGTAGACATTCAAGGAGCTCAAGAGCGCGCCAACCTTTCACATTCCAGCTCCAGGCATCATCCCCGTCTAGAATAAACACTTTTATCACACATAACACATACTGTATATAACATTAGATAAACGCAAAGATAGGAAAGCCCATGAACTTAAATGTATGTCTAAAATGTATGCATGTTGCATGACTGCGAGAAACTTATATATTGTTGATCTATTTTTATTGTATTGTTTCAAAGTAATTCTTGTTAAATGTAGTACGTTTTACTTATCTCGTAAACACGGGAGTGTGGAACAAGCTGCCCAGACAAAGCTGTGGAAGATGATATCCTGGTTTCTTCTAGAAACTATTACCTACTAAAGAGCCTTACGGGCGTGTTTGGCCGGATCGCCTTGTCTCGTTTGTAACCTTTATTCTGTTCTTGTGCTAACTTATAGCAGTCTTTCAGTAGCGCAATAAAAGATAGCCTTTTTACGTTTTTCTAAGTTTCGCTACAAACTTGTTTATGATACGTTTTGCTCACAAAGCATTCTTATTTAGCCTTAGATGTACTTTTATCCCTGACTATTTCCCGTCCGGAAAGAGAAGGTTCCCAAATGTCAGAATGGAACAGCCCGGACGCAGCGCTTTCCTCACTGACCTCCACAGCTGCTAAATCTGCAGGCGCACCGAGCACGACAAGGACTGCGCTCTCTCTTCTTCACTCCCTGAAACTGCGACGGGCCGGTGTCGCTGAAAGAGAATCGGGATCACGGTCACTCACCCGAAAAATCAGGAGCCGCACCTAGGCGATGTGGGCAAAGGGCGACAGAAAGAAAAGCTACAACGCAGAGAAATGTCCTCCTATTGTACGAGACGGGCATGGTGCGGGATCCACATGGCGACCTGGCCGGATTGG